TTTTTTTTTTTTTTTTCAAAGTGCAATGCACCATCTATTATTAGCCCTTTTAACTTGCCCAAAGCGCACAGCTTTGGCCCTGCAACGCTAGATGGCGATCATTCAAAGGGCCATCGTGCCCTTTGAAGTAATGAACATTAATCTAAAAAGGAATATATATGTATATATGTATATATATAAATGTGTTAAAAATTCTATATTTCAAAAGCCTTAATTTAAATATTTAAAAAAAATACAATAATAATGATGATAATTATACATATATTTGTACATATATTTGTACTGGAAAAGAAAGCACACTTTCAATAGAAATCATTAAAATCAATATTAATATTGCAATTCTATGTTATAGTACATAAAACTAGCAAAAATAATAAAAATTGTGGAAAATGAATAAACAATAGCACAATAAAGAACTCGATAAGAATAAAAGCACCCATAAATATCCGATCAAATGCACACGTTGAATAAAAAAAGAAAAAAACAAAATCAAATTTACACGCCATCTAGATAATAAAACAGGTTGACAAATCGGAAGGAAAAGTTGAAAGAAAAATGAACTGACAGGCAATTTCATCGACACAAACTTCAACTGTCTACATTTAATTGCCGTCACGATCAGATCTCTTTGAAATGCCTCCAAACTCTCGATCGAAATGAAAAAAAAAAGAAAAAAGAAAAAAAAAGAAGAACCGCACGAATCATTACGTTAAATTTCGGCCAAAGTTCGAAAGTATCACCAATCAAATAAAACACAGAGAAAGAAACGAAAAAACAAGAAGTGAAAAGCATATTTACATCTGAATGCTCGAACATCTTCGGTCCTTGGTCACACGTTCCCGAACGGGGTAAAATAAGATCAATCCAGCGAGTGCTGTCATTTAATAAAGGTGTTCGCGATTCATCGGTCGACATTCGAGCGCAGACCACAAAAGGGGAGCAACGTACTGCGGTATTAAATGACAAGACACGCAATCGCGGCGCGGAATGTTCCAAATAAAAAAAAAAAAAAAAAGAGAGAAAGAGAAAAAAGAAAAAAAAAAGAAACAGGCACTAAGGAGGGAAAGAGAAAAACGAGGGGATGAGAAGCAGAAATAATGATGTCGGATGACCACGCGTTCCTCGTGAGTCACAATGTCTCTCTCGAAATAGAGCCCTTTCGGACGAAGTGAGAGACAATCAGAGGATTTTCCCCCTCCCCTTGGTTTCGGGAAATTTGAATTTCAAATACGCTCGAAAATCCAGCAGCGACTGGACAGATATTCTTCTACGCTTCGGCAGAGTTCGATGGAGTCGTTACGTTTCCAAAGAGGGATCGAAAGAAAAAAGAAGAAAAAGAAAAAGATCGCCGCCACGTTTCGCATTACGAGCGTTAACAGTCATTATACGGGTCAGCCAACTACCTGAAGACCTTTCATTACGCTGCTGCTGATTCAATACAATTTTCCATTTAGATTATCGCGGATGATCTTCCGCGGATCTAACCTGTTGCACTCGGCCAGCGCAACGTGATATCATCGGA